AAAAAAAAAAAAAGACAATGAGTTCTGATATTCTGATATCAGCATAAAGTTTCCCCTGAGTGGCTAAGAAAGTAGTCTCTGGGCAATCCAGTCAGAAATCCTGCTCTTGTTACCTGTTTAACTCATTCGGGCTTGAGCTAGGATGTCTCGTTTTTGTTTTCAGGTCCTTCATTAGTACTTTCAGTGTTTGTTTTTGCCCTCATCCAAAGTATAATAGTTAAATATTGTTGATTTCTACAGAAGGCTTTCTCTCACTCCAAAACACTTTGAAAAAATGCTGCCTGTGGCTGGATAACGTTGTAGTGTCTGTCTTCTGCACCGAGCATCGTGTGGATCGGTATTCTCTTCGATAGTTCTCTGCTTTAGTGGTCTTTGTTTGTAAGTTGTTACTGTTCATGTATGTTTTGCCTTAGATGGAGTCTGCCCTCTTGGAGTCTGAGAGAACTAAGGATTCCATTTTGAACAGAAGCATGACCTTTCCAGAGGTGCCATTAAACAGTCCTCTTCTACAACAGCCATTCCATACTTTCCTGTGACACTGTGTCATATCCAGTTGCATGTTTGTCGCACCGCCAGGGTCTGCGAGTGTCTGCCCTTGCCCCTGCCTAGTTCCAGAGTCTGTTACTTGAGCCTATACCCACAGTCCTTCTACACCCCCAGGCCCCATTTACACATGAACAGGACCCTGATTTCCTCTTGCCCACCTCCCTGAGGATGGAGATCCATTTCCTTTCCTTTCAACACTTCCACCACAACTAAATCACCAAGTCTCACCTAGATTATTAAAGCAGCTCCCAGTTAATCTCCCTGTATTGCTTTGTGCCCAGAAATCCATTCTGCAAGTATGTTGCCTCCTAGAGTCTTTTCAGTGACTTCCTTTGCACTTAAAGCACAATCCAAATTTCTTTTTTTTTTAAAGATTTATTTATTTGTGGATACAGAACTGGGGTACAGGCCAGAGGCTCAGGGGCGGCGAGAGGCTTCACCAGAGACAAAATGGGGAACAGAACAGGCAGATTGATGAAGTACACTGCTGAGAGGAGCAGCGGACGGGTCAGGAGAGGTCTGCCGCGCCATGTGGATCTCCTCCGGAGCAGGCGGGAATCTAACTCACGTGGAAGTGGCTTTAGCTTCTCAGTGCAGTGCTTTAACCCGCTGCGCCACCAGGGAGGGCCCAATCCAAATTTCTTACCAACCTGACCGTCACCAGCTTCAGCCACATTATCACTGTGCCCTAGCACACTGCCTTTTCCCTCTACTCCCTCTTCCTCTGCACACCCAGGCCCTTGCTCTTCTTTTAGGGCTATTTTCATCTTTGTGCAGTCTCTGTCCTATCATCTAGCCTCATCTAAATTCATGCCCTCATTTTCTGAAGCAAGGCAGATGTTAAAATCCAGGCTCAAACTCAGACTTAAAACCCAGGTCAAGTTCAAATCCCCCACTGTGCTGCCTGCTAGCTTTATAACCTTGGGCAAGTTACTCATGCCTGCAGTTTTTCTTGGGTATAAAAATAGTCTATGGGGTAAGAGTCCATTTTTACACATGAGGGAAATTGAAGGTACAGATATCTTGCCCAAGGTTATAAAGCCAGCCAGCAGCACAGCAGGGACCAGCCTCTGTCTCACAGCACTGTCTCCGCAGTGTTATAGGAGGCAGACTCCTGTAACAAACCTAAACAGTTGATTCAGGTTTGGCCTTAGGTGAAAAGAGGATAGAGTTATATCAGAATTCATGTAGGACAGAAAAAGGGGATTTAATGCTGGGAATTAGGTGCCTCCACCCTATTAAAAATGAGAAGAGCTAGAGTCACAGACAGCCACCAGATCGTAGATCTCAAGGGCTTGCCACACTCTAATTGTAATTGTGATCTGAGACCAGAAAACTACTGAGAGAAAGCCCCCCATAGACCTATTGCTACTGCTCAGCACATGCGTGCCCCAGCCAAGTCCCACTGAGGCCAATCCCACTGTTCTAAAAGACCAGCTAGCCACGTGATGAGTTCTGTGTTTAAAAAGCAATGTAAACATCCCATTTCAGTATCCAAACATGACAAAAATGTGAAGGCTGAGGAAGGATATGTTTAGAATTTAATTTTTTGATTAAAAAATCCTCAGAGTAGACAATTAAAATGAGAAAACCTGTGTTTTGGATTTTTGAAAATATGCAAACAGCAACCCCATCTCCATAAATTGGGTTGAAAAAACAAAACTCTGAGAAAAATATTTGCAGTATATATCCAGATGCTGATATTCTTTACCAGATACTTTGTCAGACAATTTGCAGGAGTAAACAAATCAATCAAGAAAGCAAAAACGGCCAATGAATAGGGCCAAAGAAGAAATGTAATATTCCAATAATCTTATGAAAATTAAAATCACTAATAATGAAATGCAAGTGAAAACCAAAATGAAACGTCCTTTTATTTCAACCACAGATTGGGTAGCGCAACACTGGCAAAACCAAATGTGGGCAGTAAAGTGAAGAGTAGGGACTTAGAGGCCCAGATGATCGGTGCGATTGCAAACGGTGTCAGCCTCCTGAGGGAGGGCGGTATGTCACTATTTGTGATGGCGTCATCACCGGCAGTGTTGTGAGCAACAGGAAGACATCGACAGAAAAGCCAGAGAAAGTAATGGCTGTAATTTGTAGAGATGGTTACACAATTTATTAGTCTACTCCCAGACAGAAGATAAGTCTCCCCAATCTCCAACTCCCCAGTGGAAAATACTTTCCAATGTCTTCCACAGCGACAGGCTTCTGCAGGGACAAGAGGCTCCCAACCTCTTTCTCATGGGACCTGTAGTCTCCCTGGCCTGCCCTGGCTGTGTGCCTGTCTGCCTACCAGGTGTAAGTGACTGAGGCCAAAGAACTCTAGCACAAGCTTGAGTGTTTATTGCCAACATGAAATGGAGGAAGTGAAGGTTGGTGTTCAAGTCTGCTTTTTTATCCACTAAACCAAGCCTCAGGTCTACCTGAAGTTTATATCCACAGAGTCAAAATGTAATATGCACCTACCATGGGGCCCAGATATCCACTTCTAGAAGTTACTGTGAAAAAACCCCTCCCTATAAGATGGATGATTGTACTTACTGAGCATTGTTTCTAGAAATAAAATTAGGTCAACCGAATTGCTCATTAATGGAAGCTGTAAATTATGATACTTTCATACGTGATCCTCTAAAGCCACTTATATATATAAATAAATATTTATATATAATATTATATATTAATATTGTTATATATTTTATATATTATGATTATGTTAATAGCATATACAAGATATTTACATATACATGTAAAATATATTTACAAATAAATATTTCATATATAATATTATATATGATATTTTATGTAAATATAATGTTTATAAATACCTGTATACTAGCACTTATATCACTATGCATAAAATTTTTGTGAAAAAGAAAGGGGAAATTGTAGAGACTGGAATGGTCGCAGGTGTGAGAGAGATTCAAAGATAAACTTTTATACTTTATAAAGTATTCATATGGATGCATTTTTTAAAAATAGTTTATTTTTACATGATTTTGTGCCATTTTCAAACTCTGTGCATTTTTTAAATCAAATGTTAAAACATAAATGCAAAGAGCAAGAGAGAGATGCTGGAAGATACAGCCACTGCAAAGAAAACCTTTTGTTTAGGTAAAAACATTTCAAATTACAATAGAAAAGTATATGAATGTAATGGAAAAAATTGTAAGGCAATTTTCATTCAAATGTTTTTTATAAAAAACATTCCCAAGGCACACTGCACGGTGTTCACTGGCCTCTGGGAGCCAATGGGGAGTTTTCATTTCCTGTTTCTTTTTTTCCCCCAGAGTTGCTGATGGAGTAATCAAAAGTGTATTATGGCAAACACTTCAAGCTCTTAATTTCTGTCATAAACATAATGTAAGTAACATTTTCTAATGTATTTCTTAACTTTTTCATGATAGCTCTTCCCTTCTAAATAGCTCAGGGCTGTTTGAAGAACTGAAGCAAGAAGAATGAATGATAAGAACAAAGCAAAAGAAAAGTTTCAGAATATGAGGAAAAGCAATTTCCAATTCCTTTGATAATCAAGTTATTAATTCTTTATAAAGTAGGTGTTTTATAATCCTTCCCTTTTCCACAGTACTAACAATTTCTATGATTATTATTACATTGGGTTAAAGTAAGTTTCAGAATATCGGTAATGTAATCCAGCATTGCTCTTGGTGTTTTGTTTTTCTCTCAATATTTTTATTCTCTAACTCCCCTACCTTTTCCAGAAATTTTCTATCTTTAATGTTTTAAAACTATACTCCTTAGACATAAGCGTACATCAAAATCCCCTTGAGGGTCCCTCCCTGGTGGCACAGTACTGTCAAGCTATTGCCAGCCACTGTGGTGTGAGTTCAATCCCCACCCACAGAGCTGACCCACATGGTGCAGTAGATCTCTCCCATCTCGCCTGCTTCTCCCCTCAACAGAGTATTTCAGTAGATCTTCCTGTTACGCTCCCCACTCCATATCTAGTGAATCCTCTCACCCATGCACCTCCACCTACACTCCAGTTCTTGTATGATAAATAAATAAATCTTTAAAAAAAAATCTCTGGGGGTCTTTTTAAGAAATAGTCTGTGGGCCCCACCCTCATTCTTTCTGCTACCATAGTACCTCTGGGAAGAATCAGAAATGTTTGCTTTTCATTGGGATTAAGGTGTTGATCCAAGAACCACACTCTTAATGCTACTCTGATAAGAAATCATTCTGGCTGATTGTTTCCTGTGCATAATTGGTTCTTGCAAACTGTATTTCCTGTAAATTGGTATTTATACCTAGAGGCTTGGTCACATTCAGGTTTAGTTTTTCAGACAAGACTATTTCATGGGTAGTACGATCAGCATCACAGGACATATAATGTCCAGTTTACCCCCTTTTGATCATGATAAAATTGTTTAGGGTGTTCACAAGCATTAGTTGAGTCTCCCCCTCCCCCCCCTTATTAATTTTCCTGTCAAGTATTTTACTTGATGGTTTTTGCATCTCTTACTTATTACCTATACCCAAAATTTCATTAGGGTTAAAAGACGGTGGTTTTTCTACATCTGTTATCTTTCTGTGTTCATTAATTGGAATTCCATAAAGAACTCTCTGTGTTAGACACGTGCTTCTGTTAAATACCATGAGATTTCCTTTTTATTGTCAATACCCACAGAGATGAGTTAGTGTTTTAGCAGCTTCTAAGAGTGAACAACAAAAGGGTCGCGACCTAGGGCATCATTGTAAACTAACAGAACTTACCCTATTTGATGAGCTTCAATCCTTAGCTGTCGCTGTCCTCTCTGAAACTCAAATTGTCCCTTTTCAGGCCAGTGAGAGCTCTTTAAACTTGGCTCTTGGGTGTGTTCGCTATGATGCTCTTTTAAAAATAAGTTCAGATCTTCTGAGTTGGTGCCTAGACAGTGTCACTGCTGAGACAAGGACACAGACTACTGTGGGACCGATTTTGATGTCCACAAAATGTCTATCATAGTAGTCTAGGATCATGGAAAAGGACCACCACAGCATGGAAATTTTAGTACTTAAAGAAGGCTTTTTTTTTTTTTACTTGTTTTATATTAATAAAGTATAGAGGGTTGTTCACAAGACCCCTACTTTTCATGATATAGTTTGAGTTATCAACTGAACTAAAGAGGATGCTGAATTGAACCTGTATTTCTGTGTGTCCATCATTCTATAGGAGGCATTAAAGTTCTAAAGTGCTGCAGGTGTTTTATGAGTAGTAAAATGGTTTTAAAAGTATATTTCCCGGTGTTGTGCTTTATCCCTATCTATTCAGACACTTTCCTGTGCACCAGATTGTAAACTTGAATGCACTGTCTGTCGCTGACTCATTTTTGTGTCTCTTCAGTGCCTAGCATGTATATTTCTATAAAAAGTACTCAACAAATATTTATTGGATACATGAATCAGTCAGTCAGCTTATCTACCTGACTGACTTACAACTTCCAGGAGCCTCGAGTATTATAGTAACTCAGTGCAACTGCAATCATTTTTCTTTGATCAACGTGTTCCATGTCTTAAGCTTTAAAATACTGAAAACCTTCAACTGATGATTATTCTGTGGCCTCTATCAAAAATGGATAATGTTCCAGGCAACTTTTCTTCTCTATTATGGAAATTATTTCTGAACTCTGTTTTTTCATTTTCTCATGTTATAGTAAGCCTTTATCTTCCCATTTTCTCTATTACCTAAAATGCATATAGAGAAAAGAAATTTAGGTCACATGTAAACTGTTACAACTACTCTCTTTACTTTTAAAGGAACTTTTATAGTCTCAAAGTATACACAAAGCACTCCATCCCGATGGAATTTTACACTAAAGATTTGCAGCTTTTAACATATGGAGACTGTGACCACCTTATTATCTCCCCAGCAGAATTATGTGTATTTCAGTGGTGGGTGGGGTCTGTTAACACATCTGCAAAGGTGTGAACCTGTTCTTCTACACTGTACAGTGTTGTAAACCAGTGTTACCCCAATTAAAAAATCATCATGGACAATACTGTAGCTTGAAGATTGAGAGTGTGCTTTGAGAGTAAAAAAAAAAAAAAAAGAAAATCAGACCCTCCCTGGTGGCACAACAGGTTAGGATGCAGCACTGCAAGCTGGCTACCCCCTCTTCAGTGCAAGTTCGATCCCCACCCACATGGCGGCAGACCTCTCCTGACCCGCCCGCTGCTCCCCTCAGCAGTGTACTTTCTTTGATCTGCCTGTTCTGCTCCCCACTCTCTCTGGTGAATCCTCTTACCGCCCCTGCACCTCTGGCCTGTATCCTAGTTCTGTATGTGCAAGTAAATACATTTTTAAAAAATTTTTAAAAATCAGTTTTTACATCCAACAATTATAATTTTAATTTCTTCACTAAAATAGCAACATTTTGACTTTGTCTTTTAATGTGATGAAATGTACATGTAAAAAAATGCCAATTTAAATTCTTAAGTACAATGAAAGAAATCATATTTGTTCTTTTATCTCACCAGGTTATATATTTATCATTTAAACTAATAGCTAATGATTATTATACATTGTCATTTTGATGTCTCAAAGATATTGTCAAATGTTATCTTACAGTGTATTCACCGAGATGTAAAACCTGAAAATATTCTAATAACTAAGCAAGGCATAATCAAGATTTGTGACTTTGGGTTTGCACGAATTCTGAGTGAGTAGCAATTTTTTACTGACGTCCTGTCAGAGGACAATGAAGCGATATGATTTAAACTCTTTATTGAATGTATGCTAAAGGCTACACTGTTATTACTCCAAAAGGAAAATCTCACTTCAACCATTTAGTCAGTACATTAGTTTGCACTTCAGCTTCTCTCCATTTGGCTGCAGTTAATTAAACATCACATTTATGTGCTTTGCCCTACAGGAGAGGAAGAGAATTATACAATGCATTTCTGATTTTCGTGTGCTTATATGAAATTTTTAAAAATGAAACAAATAAAAGTGCAGATCGTTTCCTGGAAGGGCTCGAGTGGTTGGGAGAAACTTTATGGAGCAGATGAAACAGAGTAACTGGAAATTAGAATGACAGGACTTAAGACAGTGCTAAGAAAAAGGAAATCACCACAGATAGGGCAGAACGGAAGGGAAAGGGGGACGAATCATTCCTTCTCCCTGCATCTAAGACTGCGCTGTACTAGTTTTGCAAGTGGGTGTGTTCATAATCAGCATTCAAGCAGGACCCAGATTCAGGGCACTTGACAATGCATTTGGAAGGGTTGGACAGACACAGAAGCTAAGGCTCTCTAAGGCTACTTTCTTTGTGATATACGGTGATAGTACTCTAATGGTAAATGCTGCCTGTGCTGAGAAGAGAATGAACAAACACGGAAGACTCTTGTGCATAGAGCTAGTGTGCATCCACATCGTGAAATATTAGGCAGCCATTAAAAGTGATGTTTATGGGGTTATCAGTGGCAAGGGGAAACATTTTAGGACATGGTAAATGACAAGAGCTAAAACTTATAGGCGCAGTATGGTCTTGATACAAGAAATACATAGAAACTATGACTGGCATACACATGGCCCTCCACTTAGAGACAGTTAGATGGTGATGGGTGAAGGCTGGAGAAGAATTTCAAGTATCATAGCCTCGAGGTGCAAACAATAGCCTCCTGGGTGAAGAGACACGGGCTCAGTATAGGTGCCGAGGTGCAGAGTGCTAATTACTGGTTTGACCCTGAGCCTCTCAATATAGAATATCTGGAGCCTGAATGTGAGGCAAATCAGGATGGATTACCTGTGCCCTCGATCCTGGGCACCAACTCTCTGCACCCCTTGTCCAGTTGAGCTCGAGATCTCCAAAGTCCCTGATGTGGGGATGGACCCCCGAGTCAACAACTGTAGGGGGACTCCAAATGGCAGCTCTCCCTTGGCTTTGTATGTTGTTCTGACCTGCAAACACAGTTTAGTGAAACTTTCCCCTATTACCTTTTGCTGGACCATTGATTCTGATAGACAATGTTGACTTGTCAGGGGTTGTTGACCTTGCTGCACCCTAGTTGTGAACATACAGAGGAGGCAGGTCAGCATCTTCACTCTGCTGCCATCTTGCCAGACTCCTGAAATCCATTGCATACTACAAAAAAAAATGTCCAGTTTGCTCACAAAAGTAAATTCTAAGACCTGCAAACATATTCCATGACAAACATTTCACATAAAAACTACCTCAGAAATGTTCTGTCTGGTGATTTTTCTTTATGGTGCTGGCAAGGCTTCTCAAACTGGCAATTCTTCTGAACATATAAATCCATTCAGCTTTTCCATGAATATGCATTATTGCTTTTCTGCTAAGTCTAGCAGTCATCTCTGACTGAACACAGTTCAATGTTAGAGTCATCTGACTCAGAAATTTAGATTGCATGAGTCTTGTGACAGACTCTGGATGGTGAATCCTCTGTGGCATTTTCAATGATGATATCTCTTTTGCCATTTGATTTAAACAAAGGAGTAGCACAAGCACCTCCAAATTCTTAGTGTTGGCTAGATCCTCTACCAGAGGTGGGCTCAGGCACTGATACAACTCAGGCTGGTGCTAGTACAGGTATGGCTCATTGCTGTATCCACTAGTCATTTATAACACGTTACAGTAAATGCTAAATGCGAACACTGACTGACTAAACTTAACCACATAAGAAAAATCCAGTAAGTTCCTACTGAATTTTCACTTCCAAAAGAATGAACTTGAACTTATTACCTGACACCATGTACAAATTAACTCAGTGACTCAGCCACCTAATCATAACTCCATAAGATTATGCACTCTTAACCACCTAAAACTATAAAACTCTTAGAAGCAAAAAAAAAATGGAAAATCTTGATGAAATTGTTTTTGACAGTAATTTCATGGCTGTAACACCAAAACCACAAACAACAGAAGAGAGCACAGATAAATTAGACTTCATCAACATTTTAATGGTTTTGCGAAGACTGCTAAAAATGGAGCGAAAGGCTACGTGGAATTGAAGAAAATATTTGCACACTATAAACTGGAAGGGGTTAATATCTAGAATAGCTAGATTTTTGAATAAAAAAATTTCTTTAATGGGCGAAGGACTTAAATAGACATTTATTCTGAGAAGCTATCCAAATGGTCAATAGACATATAGAACATTCTCAATGTAACTAACCATTAATATTAGTGAAGTACAAATAATAACCTCAATATATCATTGAGGTTATCCTCTAGGATGACTTTTCTTTAAAAAAAAATTTAAAATTAACAGTAACAAAAATTAGATTGGGAATCCACCCTAACGGAGTATGCAAAGATCCTCCAAATAAGTTTGCCTTCACAGGTACCAGGGGCTAGGACTTTACATATCTTTTGGGGGTGAGGGACATAGTTCATCCCACAAGCAGCACCATGCTGATGATGATGTGGAAATGGCTGTTTTCCTTGGAGTTACCCTAGAGAAATTTCCATTCTCCTGCCTCCCATTCTGAATCACACAGACCTTATGTAGTTCACATGCCTTTGGAAGCTGAATCTAATAGCTGAGAGCACAGGGTAAATGTTTCCCCAGCTAGTGCTTCACTGCATTCACTGCTGGGACTGTCCTGGCCGAACCTTGCCTGAATGTCTGGCCTGCTCTTGGGAATAGCTCACACAAATGTGACCTACCTGATGGATGTGTTTGCAGTTCCAGGAGATGCCTACACTGATTATGTTGCTACAAGATGGTACCGAGCTCCTGAACTTCTTGTGGGAGATACTCAGTATGGCTCTTCAGTCGACGTGTGGGCTACTGGCTGTGTTTTTGCAGAGCTCCTGACAGGCCAGCCACTTTGGCCTGGAAAGTCAGATGTGGACCAACTTTACCTGATAATCAGAACACTGGGTATGAGTATTTTATGACTTAAATTTGCTAAATAGTTACAATAATAGTATGTCATTATAATGAAAAACAAAAGCTTTCTTCTCCAAAGTGCTACTTAGGATGGTGGCTCAGGCTTGTAGATAAAACCCAGTCCCTTTCCTCTCCTCACTTCTCTCAGTTTGCAAATGCAATTTCTGTTCACTATAAGAAAAGGGACTCCCCCCTTTACTCTAGACCAGGGATCAAGAAACTTTGTAAGGGGTCAAGTAGTAAATGTTTTACCTTGTACAGGCTACTTGATCTCTGGTTACTCTGCTGCTTTGCTTACTAATTAAGAACTTGCGAATTGCTTTCACAGATATCCTCTCTTTAAGTCTTAAGAAAAACCTGATAAACACATTTTTAATCGTGCCTACTTTGTAAATGGAGAAATTAGGGTCCAGGAGTTTCTTTGCTTAGCTTAAAGTGCCTATCAGTTCAGTGCAGAATAGGCTTGCAATTCAAGAGGTCTCTCTCAAGAGCTGTCATCATGTGTCTGCATTCCTCCATCTGGATGGAAGAGGCTGTGAGCAAAAGGTTAGCTGCAGCTTCATGCCAGCAGCATGGACACAAAGAAAGTGACATGTCTACACACGTTCGATGAGTATTTATTCCCTTCCCACAACCCCTCCTGGCAGCGTGGCTGTTGGGCAAGGGAACTGCTCCTGTCTAATCTGATCCACTTCCCCACTTGATTCTAGCATATTCTTCTAGAGAATTCTGCATTTGTGTGTTATCATTCATGTGTGGGCTAAAGTATCACTACAGATCACACCTTTGCTGTATATTGTTCATTTGATCGATTTCCTATAAGAATGTAGAGATTTACACTAAGCAGGTATTAGACAGACTTAAGTTTGATTTCTATGTGACCTAACAACTATGATCTTGGGCAAGCTATTTAGTCTCTCCTCATTAGTATGGTAGAGGTGGCGCAGCGGGTTAAAGCACAGCACTGAGAAGCTAAAGCCACTTCCGCACGAGTTCGATTCCCGCCTGCCCCCGAGGTGACCACATGGCGCGGCAGACCTCTCCTGACACCCCCCCACCCCCACCCCGCTCCTCTCAACAGTGTACTTCGTCCATCTGTCTGTTCTGCTCCTCACTGTTTCCGGTGAATCCTCTCACTGCCCCTGCACCTTTCACATGCACCCCAGTTCTGTGTGCCTAAACAAACTTTTTTTTTTTAAAGTATAGTTGGTTGATTTGACAGTAGATAATTAGGTGCATCTATATGGATATGCTTACATATCCATATTCAATCAAACCCACTCAAAATGGGTTATATTAAATAGTT